CGCAGCCCCCCAAGGGATGCGAGGTCTAATTTGAAATCTGCGCGATCTGGCGGTGGGTACCCACTGTGCTGGGTCCCTCAGCCCTCGAAAGTGGCGACAGTTTCACAGATCGAACCCCCCCAGGGATGGCGAGGTCTAATTCGAGTCTGCGGTGGGTACCCACTGTGCTGGGCCCCTCATCAGCCCTCGAAAGTGGCGACAGTTTCACAGATCGCAGCCCCCCAGGGATGGCGAGGTCTAATTTGAATCCGCCCGTGGCGTCACTGTGCTGGGCCCCCCAGCAGGCCTCGAAAGTGCGACAGTTTCACAGATCGCAGCCCCCCAGGGATGGCGAGGTCTAATTTGAATCTGCGCGTCGCCCTCACTGTGCTGGGCCCCCCAGCAGGCCTCGAAAATGGCGACAGTTTCACAGATCGCAGCCCCCCAGGGATGGCGAGGTCTGATTTGAGTCTGCGGTGGGTACCCACTGTGCTGGGCCCCCCAGCAGGCCTCGAAAGTGGCGACAGTTTCACAGATCGCAGCCCCCCAGGGATGGCGAGGTCTAATTTGGGTCCGCGCGTGGCCCTCACTGTGCTGGGCCCACCAGCAGGCCTCGAAAGTGGCGACAGTTTCACAGATCGCAGCCCCCCAGGGATGGCGAGGTCTAATTTGAGTCCGCGGTGGGTACCCACTGTGCTGGGCCCCCCAGCAGGCCTCGAAAGTGGCGACAGTTTCACAGATCGCAGCCACCCAGGGATGGCGAGGTCTAATTTGAATCTGCTGTGAGTACCCACTGTGCTGGGCCCCCCAGCAGGCCTCGAAAGTGGCGACAGTTTCGCAGATCGCAGCCACCCAGGGATGGCGAGGTAGCTTTTGAGTCTGCGGTGGTACCACTGTGCTGGGCCCCTCAAGCAACCCTCGAAAGTGGCGACAGTTCACAGATCGCAGCCCCCCAGGGATGGCGAGGGCGAGGTCGAATTTGAGTCTGCGGTGGGTACCCATTGTGCTGGGTCCCATCAGCAGCCCTCGAAACTGGCGACAGTTTCACAGATCGCAGCCCCCCAGGGATGGCGAGGTCTAGTTTGAGTCTGCGGTGGGTACCCACTGTGCTGGGCCCCTCAGCAGCCCTCGAAAGTGGGGACAGTTTCACAGATCGCAGCCCCCCAACGATGGCGAGGTCTAATTTGAGTCTGCGGTGGGTACCCACTGTGCTGCCCACGAAGCGCACAATTCAGTTTGTGGATTGGGCTCCTTTTGCAGGCCTCCCCTACGGCTGCTGGTAGATGTTCCTGGCACGGGGGATTGTCGCGAGGGCTTCGGTGGTCCGGGTCTGGGGGGCCGCTTCGAAGGGGGGTTATCTCTTGCTTAGGTCCGCTGCTGACGAGGTGCCCAGCGTTCTCCCACCTCCGGGATCCTCGGGGCGGGGGGGTCGTGTACCTCTCGTTCCAAGACGCGCGGGGAACTCGTTGGGTCGCAGCCTGACAGGCGGGTGGGCCAGCCGACCTACATGTTGGATCGCATTGCAAAATTCCGGCCTGCAAGTATACCCATGTGCGGACCGTTGCGCTGGTTCGCCGTTGCAGCTCCTGGCCTGTTCCAAACTGCGACAGAATCCAGATGGGGGTTCTACGGGATGGGCACCCCGCAATACATGCAGCACGCGGTGGGGGTCGCGGCTGCGTTATCGAGATCCCCCCCCGAGGGCCGACCCTAGCCGCGGCGCGGCCCGCGCGCGGGTGCTTCAGTGTTTGTGGATTGGCGCCCTACCGGATTCAAAGTCGGTGCCAATTGCCAGCCTCCAACCGCGGTGCCTGGCGGCGACTTGGCGAAGGTGACGCGCGCGTGCTGCGCGATCGGCAACTCCACGGCCATCTCGGAGGTGTTCTCCCGCATCGGCCACAAGTTCGACCTCGCGCGCGCTAGGCGCGCGTTCGTGTACTGGTACGTCGGCGAGGGCGTGGGGGAGGGCGAGTTCTCGGAGGCCCGCGAGGATCTGGCCGCGCTGGAGACGCATTGCGAGGAGGTCGGCATCGAGACCGCCGAGGGCGAGGTCGAGGAGGAAGGCTATTGGCGACAAGTTCTGAGCCGTGCTGCTCAGCTGCAGCGGGGCAATCTGACCTGCAAGAAGTCTGGCAGATTCCGTCGGCGGGCGCCGCGGGGAACACGCCGCTGCGATGTCGAGCGCCAGCCCGCTCAGGGCGATCGTCTTGTCGCCCGCGGTGAATCAATCGCTGAATTCGCTGAGCCCCAGCTCGCTGAGTTTACGGCGACCCGCCCCCGCCAGGGCCCCCCCCCC